CCCGTTGGAGGTGCATACTTTCACACGTAGCCCAAAATTTGCATCCGACTGCTTTCACGTCCCTAGGGTTGTTGATTTTTTATTTTTATTTTTCCTTGTTCTTTTTTATTTTCCCATTTCCGAATAGAAGCATAAAAGAAAACACAATGGGACCAGGCTCGACAACTTTCGGTGCGCAGTGAAATTCCGGGTCGACAAAAACAGGCTCGGAGGTTCTAGTGGTTTAAACCACAAGTACACGGCCCCAACCTTGCAGTCCGAAACTTGTCGCCACAAAAAAATAAGGCCGAAACGTCAAACGTTGAGCCCACCGTTGATAAATTCGATCGACCGTCGCATTTTCGTTTCACACCTCCATAATTTCAAGTGGTTGTAGGCCCGTGGGCCAGGTGCGCATGTACCGATGCTCTACTAAGCTACCGATATGTCCAAAAAATCACGAATAAGTTTGGATGAGTCTCTCCGAAAAGTTTGGGGAACTGAGACAAGGCGTGCCTGAAGGCCACTGATTTTTTTTTCCCAATGTTGCGCCTGTTCCCACCCCAAAGCACGAGACAATTCCCCTCCCTCTAGACCCTGTCCTTTAGGAGAGGCTCAATCGTGATTCTCAACTTAGTTGGGGCCATGCATTAGTGGTTTATGCCCCTACTATTTGGTTTTGTCGTTCTTCTTGGTTCAACTTCGATTGCCTCCTTGTATGACAGGGGAGGTGGTTTGTTGATCTTTTTTGCAGTATTATAGATATCTTGCTTGCTTCTTTGCGGACTCGGACTCTTTGTGTCAGGCGAACCACCTCTCCTATCCTTGCCTGATCGGCATAGAGAGGGGGGACCAGAGAGGGTAAGGCGGATTGGATAAAGGGCGAAGGAGAGGAGGGTGTAAGGAAAAGGGATGAAAGGGCAAATGGTGAGTCAAGGGGAAATTGGGCTACGAAGAGGCCGCCGAGGCTTTGGGAGAACGGGGTTGATAGAAGGGAGGGGATCACGGGAGGGCGTTTTCGGAGAGGGGCAAGAAGCAAGTTAAAATGGTTATAGGGTTCTCATCCTCGCGGGAGAGGTGCTATGAAGCGGGTGTTGGTAGTGAAAGGTTTCGAGGTAGGGAGGAAACTGCGTTGTCTGATGAAGTACTAAGAGAGGTTGCCCCTAGGGTAGAGTAGAGAGTAAAGAGTGAAATCTCCCCCAATTACTGTTGGTGTTGTAAGAATCCCAATTAGAAACAATCACCAATGCTCTTGTGTTGTCCTAGAGAGGGGTGAATAAGCAATGCCAATGGGCTTCATTGTCTAACCTTATTTTTTCGTGTTATCGTTCCGTCTTCAATGACCTCGTCCATTTCCTATTAAGGTTCAGCCAAATCTTTGCAAAGACTCTCATTGCCTCATTTTGTTGTTGATGGCGGGCGATATTTCCCATGTTCTCTCTCAGTTGTTTGACCGCCTTCATAACATTTTCACCGATTGTGTTAGCAATTTATGTTTTAATTTGTATGAGGTTAAAGGCAAATCATTGCTTTCTGTCGAGCATTGGACCCTTCATACAACCATTAAAATGTTCATTCCTTACTCGTTTAAATAAGTTATGTTCAAAGACTATCCATTCCCGAGGAAAGTCTTTCATCTTTCCTAACAAGATAAGTTTTGTATCTCATATAAAGTTTTTGTCCGTCATTTCTCTCCAAACAACATCCCACCATTTTCAAATTTGCAGCTTCATGGGGTATTGTAGAAAACAATGCTCTAGTGAAGCCATCTTATAAGAGAGAAGTACCCACAATATGAGCGGATCGAGGACAACTAGCCTCTTTAGTCAAGGATAGACCACAACGCACCCTTATTTTTACACAAAAACATACCTCGTATACTTTTATTATTTTTTAGTTATATTCGGGGAAAAACGGTAACCAGTCCGGGGTCGGGAGGTAACCGTATATAATTTGTCGTTGAAAGGCTCTACGTGGGGGGAGTCTCACTACCATCTTTTAAATATTGATGGGTTTAGTGAGCAGGTTTTGCAAGATCGTTATGACGTTCTTTTACTGTTACCAGATTGACAATGATTTTTTTGTAGTGAACTCCCATTTAGACGTATGAAAAAGGAGGACCTAGATAAAAGTGGTACTCTCGTGAACAAAGTAGCTCTTATCTTCATTGTCCAACACCCTAACTCTATTTACCTTGTCCCTAGGGAGTTGTCCATCTAAGTGTTCATTCTATTTTATTTGGGTTCACCGGACCCTGGTAACTTGGGGTCGCAGGTTTGGAGAATTGCAATATTACTTTTTAATTGTTGGATTCTAAAAACTATTGGAGGAAGAGGACAATGCCATGCTTTAACATGTTTCACTTAGTCATCAACTTCTATGAAGGGTCATTTTTTAAGTGCCAAATTTCACTCGAAAGGAATTGTTTTTACTTATTGCGTCAGTTTACGACTCATATGTTTAGTATTTTTTAGTAGTGACCTTAGTTGTTCAAGGTTTTTTCATGTACCGTCTTATGTATCCCACATATCTCCTATGAAAAAAATCCCCTTTCTGACCCAAGCGGGTCAGTGGGGTTTTCCATATACCGTCTTGTGTGTCCCACATGTCTCCTATGAAAAAAATTATCCAACTGGACGTATTATAGAGGTAACCATGATAGGTCTGTTGCTAAAACCATGCATACAAAGATTTTAAATATAAAGGCTTCGATATGTTTTGACAAAGGTCGATTATGCCTAGTCCCCCAATTATTTTTGGTTGTGCAATTAAGTCTTATGCTACTTTTTTAATGCACCTATCATCTCTATTATTGTTCTTCAACAAAAATTGCCTCAGTTGTTTTTAACCTGGCTAACTGGCCCCGGTGATAGGTCACAATGCCTCTTTGTACTTTATTGTTGACAAGACAACGTTGTTTATTGTCAGTGTTCTTCCTATTGTAGAAGTGTGCAATTTTTTGTCACTTTGTCGTTAGGACTTTGATTTTTTTTTTTTTAGGGTCGATTATGCACAGTCCCCAATTATCTTTGGTTGTGAATTAAGTGATATGCTACTCCTTTAATACACCTACCATCTCCGTTTTTGTTATTCCACAAAAATTGTCGGTGTTTTTAACATGGCTAACTGACCCCGAGGATAGGTAAGAATGCCACTTTGTACCACATTGTTGACAATACAACATTGTTTATTGCTATGATTGTTTTGGTTAAGGGTCGACTATGCCCAGTCCCCCATTTATTTTTGGTTGTGCAGTGCAATTAAGTCACATGTTACTCCTTTAATGCACCTATCATCTTTGTGATTGTCCTTCCACAAAAAAATACCGTTGCTGTTTTTAACTCGGTTAACTGGCCCCAGAGATAGGTAAGGATGCCACTTTTTACCATATTGTTAACAATACAACGTTGTTTATTGCTAGTGCTCTTCCTGTTACAGAAGTATGCACTCCTATCCCACCTTCTCATGGTTGTTATGGTTGTTCCCACTAGTTTCTCCCCATGGTCCTTTGGTGGGTCCAAGGCTGTAAGTCTTCTCCTCATGATCGTGATTGCCTCGTCCTCGGGTTTCCAGTTCATTGGGGTTCTGATGGGGGTACTTGCCTTTGTGGGTGCATCCACTAGGCCCTCGCTTTCGTACCCTATTTTACTTTCATGTCTACCAAGACAAAAAAGAGGTGAATAGTTGACGACAATACTTCCAACAACACTTCAATTGCTTTTATACAAACTGTGAGATTGTCTGTAAACAGTGATGTGACTCGATTAGGTACAAATCCGTGATGTGATCGAGATTATGTACAATATTTATGGTATGTCTATCCTTTTTATCGCCAGATCGTCGTTTACCATAATGTTTGTGGCAGTTGTTCTGTGCATTGTGACCATCCACACCCGGAAGTTGTCCCCGAGGTTCATTTTCTGCAAACAGCTTCCATGAAATCCCAATCTACTACAAAAAAGTTTCCATGACATTAATAGATGTCCTTTAGGACGTCCATTAAAGTTGGAACGATACAAAGAAGATTAGGGTTGTGCTTCACTGCTGTTTTTAAAGGATGATTATGAAAGAACTGCATGCTTCACAACCATTTCCATATTTTTTCCCTTTTAGGAACTTCGACTCTGATTACTAAAACAAAAGTTGTCCTTTATTTTCCGCATTCCTTTACAGTAACGTATTGTTGGCCAAGAACTCCATAAAAAACGGGACGATGTATCAGGCCACAATTTTGGCCCCTGTAAAAACGAAGACCACAATTTTCCATGTCTTGTGGAGCTGTTCTTGTATTAGCCCTTGAAAGGGCCGGTAGGTGGAGCCTCACACATTCTTACGGCATCTACACGCATTTCTTGGGTAATTCGTCAAAGCCCCAGCAGTGGAGCACAACCCTTAGCATGGCCCCTGGGCAACGATGACATGCACAAATCGAGAAATGGTCCAAAAGACATAGAAGAAGAAATCCCAATCTACACGATCCTATGTTTTCTGGTTACTGAGTATGGCCTACATCAGTTCGTTAGGCATGCAATTGGCACTCAGGAGGTCTTGGGTTCAATCACGATTAGATTCGGGGCACGCTTGGTGTGCCAACCAACTTAGATAGTTGGCTTGGGGTGTTCTTGGGTAGTAGTCCCAATTGTATGGGCCACAATATGACGTGAGTGACCTAGGCTGTTGATAAACGGACTGGAACAAAGATGGACCAGAAACCCATCCCAACGCTACTCCTAAAGGACAGCGCTTGGTTCTTGAGTTGGGATGGGGTCGGGGGCATTAGCGTCCCCCCCCTCTGGCCCTACCGGGTGTGCATCATGCCGGCCCACAAGGTCACCCATCCCAACGCTACTCCTAAAGGACAGCGCTTGGTTCTCGAGCTGGTCTGGGTGGGGGGCACTAGCGGCCCCCGTCTGGCCCTACCGGGTGTGAATCATGCCCCCCGTTGCTGGGAGGTGGGGGTGTGGGGTGTCCTTGGAGAGTCCTAATTGTGTGGCGCGCAGTATGAAAGAGCGCGTGACCTCGGCTGTTGATAAACGGACTGGAAGGGAGATGGATGCGAATATCTGAGGTGGCAAGCCGCTTGGTCGGCCACGTGGCACACGTCTTGGTCGGCCACGTGGCACACGTCTTGGTCGGCCACGTGGCACACTTCTTGGTCGGCCACGTGGCACACTGTTTGGTTGGCCGCGTGGCACACTGCTTGGTTGCCGACGTGGCACTCTGCTTGGTTGCCCACGTGGCCCACGTGGCATGCCGGGGTGGGGTGGTCGCACATCGGTGGGAGCAATAGATAGATGTCGCCGAAAGATTCCGAACTCGGGACCCATCTAGTTTGCAAAAAACTCTTTGCTGTCGGCGCGATTAGACATGGCGGGGGGGGGCAATTACGGGTCAGTTCCCCCAGCAGTTGCAGCAGCTGCCACGTGGCGCCTTGAGGCGCTGCCACGGCGGATCGTTCTCGGGGCTGTCGGGACCTTCGCACTGCTGGGCACGAGTGTGTTGAATAAAAACCGAGTCGTCAACAAAAAAACTTTGCTGGACCTCATTTACAATCGTCCCGCAGGAAAACCATTGCTGACGTGTAGCAATCACATGTCCACGTAAGCATGTCTTCCGCAAGCTGTTCCTTTTTTTTTTTTTTTTTGTTTCTTTGTGCCTGCTGCATACTCATCCTCATCTTTTGCATACCTTGCCCCCCCCAAAAAAGGGAAAAAAAAGAAGTTAATGTAGTTGAAGACTTGAAGTATTACACTGAACACATTTGCATTTTGCGTTTCATTTCTTTTTTTATTTTTATTTTATTTTATAATTTGGACCATTTATGGATTTATGCGTGTCATCCTTGCGCGGGGGCCATGCTAATCTTCAATCTCTGTATCGTTCCAATTTTAACGGATGTCCCGAAGCACTTTCTCTTTGGTATTCGCCGTCTTTCCCTCTCTCTTTTCTTCTCGTAAAAAAGAAAAAAGAAAAAAGAAAAAGTGAAATAAAGGAATTATTTGTGATCTTCTGGTATAATAAAGTGAGGGTCCAGCGGCAGCATGTTCCCTCTCTACCTCCGCTTCTTTCCCTCGATCCCTCCCCCTTCCCCTCTCCTTCCCCTCCTTTCCCTCCTTCCTCTCCCTCTCCCCCCGCGCCTCCCCCCCCTCCTCCCCTCGTGCCGCCTTGCCCACCTGGGGGGAAAAAAACCTGAAAAAAGGAGTGTATTACTAATTTACTACCCTAGACATTTCTTCAAGAAGATCGCTGTACGATCTTGTTATATATTTCAATGCTTGTCATCATATCACCATTTTCCCGCCACTTTCCCGCCATTTCCCCCCCCCACTTTCCCCCCTTTTCCCCGCCACTTTCCCGCCATTTTCCCACTAGTATCCCGCCATCTTTAAATCCTTGCCATCCTCAGCAACGTCTTTAGGGCGCCAATAGGTCCCGCCAGTTCTCCCCCCCTTTGCTGAAGTTCCGTCGGCGCGCTACGAACCTGAACGAGCTTGTCACGAACCTGTTCCGAACCTTTTCCGAACCTTTTCCGAAACTGTTCCGAACCTGGTCCGACCCTGTTTGAACCTGGTCCGAACTTTGTCACGAACCTGGTGCAAAGCTCTGTTCCAAAGCTGTTTCTAATCTGTTCCGAGCCTGACCGAATGTGTTGCGGACCTGCTCGAACCTTATCTGAACCTGATCCGAACCTGATCTGAACCTGATCTGAACCTGATCCGAACCTGGTCCGAACCTGGTACGAACCTGTTCCAAAGCTGTTCCAAAGCTCTGTTCCAAAGCTGTTCCGAACCTGTTCCGAGCCTGACCGAATGTGTTGCAGACCTGCTTGAGCCTGATCCGAACCTCATCCTAACCTGATCTGATTCTGATCCTGAACCTGATCCGAACCTGGTTCGAACATTGTCGTAAACCTGTTCCAAAGCTCTGTTCCAAAGCTGTTCCGCACCTGTTCCGAGCCTGACCGAATGTGTTGCAGACCTGCTCGAGCCTGATCTGAACCTGATATGATCCTGATCTGAACCTGATCTGAACCTGACCCGAACCTCATTCGACCCTTGTCACGAACCTGTTCCAAACCTCTGTTTCGAACCTGTTCCGAGCCTGACCGAACCTGGTCCGAACCTGGTCTGAAGAACCTGGTCCGAACCTGGTCGGAACAGGTTCGAACAGGTTCGGACCAGGTTTGGAACAGGTCCGAACCTGGTCTGAAGAACCTGGTTCGAACCTGCCTGGTCTGAGCGTACGTGTGTAACCTGCATTGCCTCTTTTCCTAACCTCTTCGGAAGCTCGTGTCCTCGTGTCCTCTTTTTTTTTTTTTTTTGTATTAAAGCTGTCTACGCTTCATACCGGGGACAGCTCTTCTTTATATCCTAGTAATCCTACGCTGTTGTCTTCTTTTTTTTTTCATTTTTTTCATTTTTTTCTATAGCTCGGCTGCTCACCTCTTCTGTCTGTTGGCCATCTTTTCCTCAATTCGTCCTGTCCTTCTTCATTACCATTTTTTTTTATTTTATTTTTTTCAGATCTTTCGTCGGCTCTACACCACCGCCATAAACATCAAGCATCAATCAGAGCCGCTCAGGTTTCTGACAATTTTTTTTTTTTTTTTTTTCGTTTCTGACGATTAAGGCTCAGAGAGAGAATCGTTTCAATGGCCACTGCTGTCGTTGAAACAACAAGCCAGGAGATCAGCTTCCTCCCCCCCCCGCCCTTTACCAGTTACTTTTTATTATTATTATTATCATTATATTATTATTATTATTATTATTTTATTATTATTATTTTATTATTATTATTTTATTAATATTATTTTATTATTATTATTATTTTTCATCCATTTGCCCGGCTAACAGCATCTTTTTTATTTCTCCAAAGACAAGGAAAAAGACTCCTGCTCAGCTCTTTCTCCGGGGGTGTTTGCTCCTCTTGGTTTTCGTTTCTTCTGCTTACGTATGCTTGCTCTTTTCCTTATCTGTCTACCCCTTTTTCTCTCTCTCCTTCATCTCCCTCTCTCTCTCTCTCTTTTCTCTCTCTCCCCCTCTCTATATCTCTTCTGTCTGTCTGTCTGTCTGTCTGTCTGTCTGTCTCTCTCTCTCTCTTTTGTCTGTCTCTCTGTCCCTCTTTCATCTCTCTCTCCTTCTCTCTTCTCTCTCCTTCTTCTTTCTCTCTCCTTCTTCTCTCTTCTCTCTCTCGCTCTCTCTTCTTCATTGTCCTGTTCAGTACGTCTATCTGATCCTTTCCTCGCTTCTGCGTTGTTGCCACGTTTCCCCTCTTCCTCTTCTTCTTCGTCATCCCCTGGCCGCGTCCCTCTTCCTCATCCCTCCTCTGTCTTCCTGTCCCCTCCTTGCTCCCCCATTCTTTTTTTTTTCCTAATCACTGTATGACTTTCTGCTCGACTAGATAATAAAGATTGCAGGAGAGCGAAATACTGTAAAAGTAACGACCAGGCGCGAAGCGAACATGCCACGTGGCACACAATAGGCTTTCGTCTCTGCCGCACTGTTCTTGATGCCACGTGGCACAAGCTACTCCTCCAGGGCCTATGAGACGAGGCGTAAGGTAAATGCCAACATTCTGAATGTATCAGGACCAATTTCATGTTCATATTCATTCAGAATGTTGGCATTTGGCGAGCGGTGCCCTAAGTCTAAGCGATTTTCC